TATCGACTGAAGCACTTTCCGGAACACGGCCTGCCTTCAGGCCTTCGAGCCCTCTCGATCGAGGACTGCCCGAGTCTCAAGTCGTTGCCAGCCAGAATCCGAACCATGAATTCGCTCGTGTCGCTCGAGCTGAGGAGCTGTCCGAGGCTCGATAATTTTCCAAGGTGCGATCTGCCCCCGAACCTGACCTCGCTCAGGATATGGGATTCTAAGAAATTCAAGCCTCTCTCTCAGTGGGGCCTACACAGGCTAGCTTCCCTCAGAGAGTTCTCCATCTGTGGTGGATTCAAGGATGTCGAGCTACTCGGGGAGGACGACTGTCTCTTTCCTCCTTCCCTAATAAAATTCTCGATTGCTAGGTTCCCCAAGCTCACTTCGCTTGGTAAGGTGCTTGAAAATCTCACATTGTTGAGGCACCTATTGATTATGAACTGCCAGAATCTTAACGTCTTGCCCAGGGAAGCGCTGCTCGAGAAGCTGTGGCACCTGGAGATAAGCGATTGTCCGCTTCTCAGGCAACGATGTGCAAAGGACAAGGGAGACTATTGGCCAAAGATAGCAGGGATTCCTTGTGTGGAGATTGATGGGACATATGTTTATAAACAGGGTTCGGTTTGAGAGGGAACGAAAACTTGGTACACTTCCCTTACCTGCTGTTTGAGCCTGGAAATAGTTCTCATGAATAATTATCCTTTGCCATGCGATTCTTTTTAATGTGATGGAGTATTGATTGGAGTTATGTCCCAACCAAAAAAAAAAAAAAAAAANNNTGCTAAATTCTAGTTCTACATTTTTGCCTCGCAACCGTTTTGCTGCTTTTCTGTGGTGCAGTTTGTGACCTGGTGTTTGACCTGTTGTGATAAGCAAATTGTTCTGCCGTTTTGCCTCGCAACTGTGTATAAGGTACATACAATATTGCCTGATAATGGATCGGATATTCCTCTTTTGAGTAGCTGCCTTTGGTCAAGTTTGTCAGTTAGAGCTGAACTTTCCTAGTACGGTTTACTTAGCTGAAGAGGTTTTCTTGGTGTTTGCTTGCCCGGAGATTCATCATTTTTGGAAGGACCTTGAACTACTTGTATCCAGATAGTGACCGAGTACCTGAAGCACCACTTTAACAAGTTAAAGTGAGCCAAGAAAGACATACATCACAATTCATATTCAAGTTCAAAGAGTTCTAGAGATTCTCTCGACGAGATTCAAGTGCTTTTCAAGATTCATAGGCGCATTCAACTTCAAGACTGACATTCAATTTGAAAACAAGCTGTCGAGTAATTCCGCAAAGAACAAAAGACCCGTGTTTTTAAGTTCTTGGGATATCACGGCGTCTGATTCGAAATCAAGGCGGTGGCCCTCGTATTAACGTTAATTCAAGTCAAATCACTTCAAGGATAAGATCAAACAAAAAATTTTACTTCAAGACTTAAAATCGTTCGTAAGAAGAATGAGAAGAGAAAATAGAGATTGGAATTCACAATATTCATTTGGTTCGAGAAATTCATTCGTAAAAGTTTATTTTCGTACTTATAAATTCAATACAAGAATTTTTTTGTTAGAGCACTGTTCAGAATCATTGTGCTAAAAAAAACCAGAATAGTTGGCACCAACTTAAACTTGTTGACTTCCGATTACAAACTGCTACTTTTGTACAACACAGCCCGAAGGAAAACTTTAAAAACCAAAGAGAACAAATAGAAATCGCAACTTTTGTACATCACAGTTGTGCAAGAAAAATACAAGAAACAAAAAAGTTCTTGATCCCTTGATCAATGTTTTTAAGGCAGATATAACGTGAAAAATTACAAACAAGCAATAGATCTATATGACAAAGCACAGTCAGCAGCCAACGCATATAAAACCTCATCCGTCCCATCTGCTCTAATCACGGATCTTTTGGACTCCTACCCATCGGGCGTAATCCACCCACCTGCAAAGTTAGAAAAGTGCCAATATTTGAATAAATACAATCCCAAAGTGAAAAAGGTTTATTCATGAAGAGGGGGAAAAAAATCTCACAGTAGTGATCCCAAGAAGGTATTCCCCGTACGCACGGCAAAGCAGAGTGCACTGAGTATGAGTTTCTGTTCGTGTAGCAAAGGCTCTAAAATTCGCTGTTCAATAACTCCAGCAAGTATTTGGTACCTACGCACCATATTGTACAATGAAAATGACTCGGGAGCATATGATGATGATCTCATATAATTGACTTTTAAATCAACACAAAGTACAATGACCCATTGCAACAAAAGCATTGAAAACGCATTCTATGGGGATTTTAAGCATTTTCTGGTCTGCATACCTTAGATTGCTTGATACCGCCATGTAGACACCGTATGCAACGCTTGTGGGAATAATGGGTACGTCTTCTGCTTCGCCTGCAAAAGATTTATCGATTGCCTTCCGTGCGGCCAGTAAAGCATTTGTTACCCCTGTGCCCACCTGCAAAACAGGGATGAGCACATAATATCTGTCTTCTTTATGTACTGCCCCCATAACAAAGATGAATAAATATGCCAGAAGTCGTAAAAAGGTTCATGACTAGTACTTCAATAAGGATGAAAATCTAAACAACACATAATGACTTTAAAGAATGTACAAACGCTGTGGGTTTCGTGAACAATATCAGCACTGAAAACAGAGGTAATGCAAGGTTGTTGTCTCAGTGATTTACGAAGAACAAAGGCAGCCACAACAATATCTCGTGTGCCTTTAAAGGAATAACCAATTATTAGAAGCTGAACTGGATAGTGAAACGGTTAGGAAGCGTGCTCAAGACAGAAATTATGCCGACTGATGTTCTAAATCAAATTCACTAATTACAAAGTAGTAGTTTAAGATCTTCATAAAACCATACAAGTTCAGAAAAATCATTGAGAAGCATAAAGCATATTTATCAAATGAACAAGTCCTGAGATAGGCAAAATGTTGTCTCACCAAAGAAGCACTGGTTCCAACTACAAATAGCTTTGCTCCATTCCTCTGCAGAGTAACAATAGTTCTTTTTATATTTAGAAGAACCCAAAACCTAGAACTGTTATTATTTATTAAATAAAAATAAAATAATAAAGAGATTAGTTACCACAATAGCTCCTATCCTTTGTAGGAATGAATAGGATGTACCTGCCAAGGCCACCTGCATCATTGCCATAAGTTACTTCAATTTTCATAAGTTTCATGTAACAACCCTTCGCATAATCAAGTAGAAAATTAAGGCAGTTTAAAAAGGAAAAAGGAATGAAACCTGAAAAGCATTATCAGGGCAGCCATAGAAGAACTTATTGAGACCTCCAGCAGTTATTGCAAGAGGAGGCCGAAGAGAGACCGTTGGGGCAGGTAACCAGACAAGCATGAAGTCTGCAATAATGGCCATTACCTACATAAAAGCTTATCAGAAAATCTGAGATAGTAGTAACATAGGAAACCGAATCGAAAACTAAAGAACCAGATAAAATGACTTGAGATAGACGGAGAAATTGATAATCAAAGGGAAGGAAAGTATTAGAAAATTACGCAGGAAATTTTACAGCAGAAAGGATTTACGGATTGATAGAAGCTCAAACAAATACATGTACACAAGCACATTGACGAGTGGACTGATTATAATGGATGAGAATTTCACCATTTTTTTATCTATTATAATAGTAACTAACTTCTCTCTACAAAAGATGGTTGACAGAGCATTTCAAAATAGGTCCACGGTAGAAAATAGAACAATCAAATATCAAAAAGCAAGAAACTTTCACAAGTAACTCATTTATGGTGAAAAGCGCTTACCCAAACACTCAATATAGAATACATAAAAGAATCTTACCACATCAGCAAAGACAAAATCGAGCTCCTTAGTGAAGTTTTCTCTTCGTCTCTCATACTCCGCAGCAGTCTGACAACAGAATAATTTTATAATTTTTAGCAATATATACACGCTTTTGTTGCATATCAAGATTGCAGAAAGGCCAAACAAATTGTAATCAGCACCATATATTTAGACTATAAATCAAGAGCTCATATGTAAAGGCCCCCACTCGGCATATTTAAGACTGATTACAAACATATTATACAGACCTCATCACCAAATTAAATGAGTGTGGAAGTCCTATTTTCATGTCACAACATGGGTGAAGATCACTAACCTTGGTAAACAATGTGATGCAAATTCACTAACTCTCATGGGTGCCCTCACTAGCACATTACGTTAACTCTCATATCACACTCATCAACATCTTCATACATCACAGAGAAGCTAACTATTGATGCAATAACTGAATTTTTAAAAAACAATGTATAAATACAAGGGTGAAGATCACTAACCTTGGTAAAGATACCAACACCACACTCAATAGCTACTTTAGTTAAGAAAAGATCATCAGCAAGCAACCTCTCCTTAAACCCTCCGAACCGGAGCAGCCACCCCAGCAATGGAGACTTCTCAAGCTCGAAAAAACGACGGACAATCGAACCGGGGATCT